ACTCCATCGCATCAAAGTAGAACCACTGGTGGATCGGCGTAAACTTGCCCGAGCACGCTTTCAGCGCCTCTTGCCCGACGACACCGCCGAGGAGCGCGGTCAAGGGCGACACGACGCCGCGCGCCGACCGCGCCAGCGCCAGGACGACCGCTTCGCTCGCCTCGGTCCACTCGACGTCTTTCGACTTGATGGTTTTGGCGAGCGCGAGCACTTGCGCGGCCATGTCGCTGTCACCCGACGTCGGCAGCGCGCCGTGGGTCGCGGCAAACTGGTCGAGCGCCTGGAACGCCACGTGGAGCACCTCGGACCGGCCGATCTTGGCAAAGTCGCTCATGAGAAACTCGCCCGGCGTCTCGGTGGCCACGTCCATGGGCGCGAAGGCAAGCGTGACCGGCTGCTTGACCTGCGTGACGTAGCCAAATGCACCCGACGCCCCCGACTTGGTGTCGATCGTAAACGTGTACGGGCCCGTGACCGTGATCGGCACGGGCGCGCATCCGTTGAGGTGGCTTGCGCCTTGGATCTCGCGGAACGTCACGTGGTCGCCCGTCTCCATCTGGTGGCGCGCGTCGTCGGTGACCGTGACGAGGAGCTTCGACTCGGTCAACGGCGAGACGGACGCGACCATGCACGTGATCGGCTGCTCGCCGTCCTTGTCCGAGACGACAAACGCATCGCCAAAGTCGCAAAAGACCGACCCAAACACCCCGCGGGCCTCGGTCGCAATGAACGCAATGCTATGCTTGTGGCAGATCTGGTTGATCTGCGTCGCGTAGGCGCGCGACGCATTGCAGAGCACGACAACCTACCGCAGCGTGAGATCACATGCCGCATGGACCGTTCGACGTACGCGGAACTGCTCGAGGAAGGCTTCGTCAATGGCACCGACATGGTGGTGCACGGGCACGTACGGGTTGAGCTCGGCGAGCTTGCGCCAGCTGGCCTCGGCGCGGCCGACCTGGTTCTTGACATCGTCTTCGGTAAGGTAGAACTGCGCCGAGAGGTCCATATAGGTCGATGGCGCGTCGTCGGCGACGGTCACCGACTTGACGCCGGCGAGCACGATGTTCTTGGCGATCTCGACGCCGAGCCCATCGAGGTTAAGGAGGAGGACGTTGGACTCGCCCATGCGCGCCTGGGCCTCGTGGCCCATGACGTAGAGCTGCCGGCTGTAGAGCCCCTCGTCGATACGGGCAGCCATTTCGACCTCTGCTTCACCACGCAATTTCGACACTGACCTGCATTTTGCCCTTCAGCATACAAAAACCAAGTGTAATAATTTAAGCAACGGCAAAAAAACACGAAAACCGATTCTAGAATCCTGGGGAGATGACGCCGACGGCGAGAAGCTGGCCATGACCACGACCGCGTCCATCGCAGGCCACGACGCCATCCTCCGCGCAAGGAGCGTCCATGTGCCCATGGTGCTATAGCTGCGTCCATGGACGAGCTCGGGAGGACGACGCCATCGTGGCCTCGACGGTCGCTTTGGCCGCTGCATGGCGCTGCTCGCGACAACCACGTCGACCATGGCCTGCTTGGTAGAGGCTCGTCGTGCGCACACGCCTACAGACATGCAAGCCTGCCGCCTGGCACGACGAAGGACGTCAGCACTTCATTTGTCGACACGATTGCGCAGACCCGCGAATAGAAGCTCGTGCAAGCGACGTGGGACGAGCTCGAGACGAGGCCAAGACGCATCGCCGCAGCTCCGCTTGTCCGCGCCGAGGTAGAGCGATGACATGCTTGCTGGCACACCTTGATCAGGACGCAAGTGACGCAAGGAGTACACGTGGCTTCTTGTCATTAAGAGGTGACCGGCCACGCCACGGCGGTCATCAGACACTGCCCGCGAGAGCGTCCGGGCCAACTTCACTTTGAGAGAGAGGGATGCAATGCAGTGGTGCATGCATTGAGGCACATCTACCTTTGCATCCTGCTATGACTACGTTGGAGAGCCACGCTGTGAGGATGGTAGCCAGCACTCGCTTGCAAGCGCATCGTCGACCGCTGCGGTGAGGGCTATGCGCGTGACGTACGTACTGGGCCGCACAGGCGATTGCAGCGGCTCACGGCGCGTCCCACTTGAGTCGTCGACCTGAATACGGTTGAGGCCGTTGCAATGCATGGGAATTCGACACAGGACGCCGTGGCTGGTGCGGTGCAGTTGCGAGGAGACGCGCATGGACTTGATCTTCTGACTGCGCAGGACGTCATTGCGCCGGCCATGATGATTGATCGAGATGGAGCCAAAGGCCGGCAGCGCAGCAAGCACCGTCGATGTGTACTGGCCATCAATGTCTTCGATGCAAACCTGCGGCCAGTAGCTGTCCTCCACGGCGCCAGGCGCTCTCACAAGCGTTCGGAGTGCAGCCAGCGGCAAGTGCATCTTGTGGCAGCGCTTCGAGCAGCGAGATAACGTCCTATGTCGAGTCCAAGCACTGGCCGATGCGGACGAGGACGCCAGCGTGGCCCACCGAGATCGGCGCAGCCAAGTTGCACCTGCCGTTCTATCCGGATGTAACGCTTGACTATGCAAATTCGGGGGTTTCAAAGTTCAAAAACAAGTCAACGCCGGCGCCGGCCGCGAAAATGTACGCGATCTAATTGGTGGATTCTTCGTGGCGGGACCAGTTCAGTCGCGCGGGGCCATCCGTCCCACCCGAGATTTCCGTGGCTGGAGGTGGCCGGAGTTGGCCTTGGATGATTACAACATCGAGACATTTTCAAATGGAGGAAGGCGCCAAAACCAAGCTTATACACTGGCACAAGGACGTCTGCGCTGAAGCAACGTGTCGCTGCGGCAAGTCCTCCGTTGCCCTCCTCATTGACTGGCTCACGGTCGACGCCGGCGCCGGCTACCCCAACTATGCGCGATGGAAATGCGGCAGCAAGGCGAAAGCCGGCCAGAACAAGCTCAGGATTGCAGGCGAGATCTCCTCCGACCTGCTAAAGCACGGCCTCCACCGAAGCGACAAGTCCGTCAAGGCCAAGATTGAAGAGTTGGAGACCAAGTACGGAAATGTGCTCGACAAGTACGGCAGCGGCATCGACCAAGACGAAACCATTCTCGTACGTCTCTCTTGCACTACATCAAGACTCATAACGTCGTGCTCGCTAGGGCGACGTACTTAAATTATGCCCCCACTACAACGAAATCAAGGGTGTTCTTAGCTGGCGCCCATCCGCGCGCCCCGTGCTCTGCTCTTCGAACGAGGACGAGACCCCGGTAACGATGGTATCTCTATCGCGTTTTGCCGATGACAACGACGACGACGACGACGACGACGACGAGGACACTGTCCACGATGAGTCCGATGGAGGCGACGCGGCGGGCAAAGCGCCGGCAGAAGAGCCACGTGG